ATACAATTTTTCAAATACATTCAGTTTAAAAAAAAAAGTATTATTAACACATATTTCTACAGGCTCTCCAAAAGAAGCATACTGACTTGTATTCTTATTTCTCGTCATATTTCTATTTCTTGGTCTAATACAAACAAGAGTTAATTTACTAACTGGCGTCTACATAGGAAGCACTCAAATTCATACTAAATCAGAAATCACATTTCTATTGTACTGTACATACGTGTTATCGACGTAAGTGATCCTTTAATAAAAATTTGTAAAGCATCAAATTTCTGTAATAAGAATGTAAATTTTTATAACATTTTTTTTGTTATGTCCATATTTTTATTATATTTTTCATATTGTTTAATTTCTGTGAATTGTTTAGTGAATAAATTTTATCCGATAATACTAAAAACACATAGCCAGTGAAATGGATCTCTTAAAGGAGTTTTATCGGTTACAGAATTAACAATGAGAAATTGACAAAAATTTATTTACAAATCAATAAAGTGATAGAAATTACACTGTCAAAATTTGGAGTCAAGAGTCTTTGAAATCGTCACGTCTTCTTGTTCGGAAAAATGCTTTGAGAAGATCGATTTACTCTTACAGAAAAAAGTTGAAAAGCAATAAAATGTGACTTTAATTTCGGTCAATATGGTAATAATGAAAATATGAGAGAAATCATCAAAACTCCTGACGATTAAATTTAACTTCCCAAAACATCTCAACATCCTTCTTTGGTAATGATAGATGCAGCTCGTTGTGATGTAAAAAATTTCGAGTCTGTATTTTTAAAGATTAAAAATTTACAAAAAATAGAAATCACTTCAGCAGTGGAAATTAGATAATACTTATAAACAACTGCTATCCTAATAGTCACATAGAAGTTATTTAATCGTGTAATACATAACTTAAAGAAAAGATTCAATAGCTTAGTGGTTAGCGTGCTATTCTCCTAGCTACAGATATCCGAGGGGTTGTGGGTTCGAGTCCCATCACAAATTATCGAGATTTTTTTCGATAGGATGAGTCCCCAGGATGCCAAAAAAACCATTTATCCAATTTTTAAAACCAATAGTCGATTTACTGGTAATGTCTAAACCTCCAGAGACATTCTTTTCAAATGAAAGACAACACCTGGCCATAGCTTATTGGGTAAAGTTACTGTTGGTTATAAAAAAATTGTTCTAGCAAATTAGATGGATTATTGAAAAATATCTATCTACCAAACTCGATAATAGTTGAGAAGTGCTTAGACAATCCTTGTGCCCTGTAAATAGTACCGAGTTGAATGGACAACAGAGTCGTCTGAGGAGAACTTTGCAGGGGGCTTGCTCGAAAGACTCGTATACTTGGTGAAAAAGAGGCTAATTACGGGAAAAAAAAGGTCTGATAAAATAAAAGATGTTTAAAGAATACATCCGTACTTGAGCGCAAAAGGGTAACATTTCTTAAAAAGTTTTTTTGTAAAACATTGGTCAAAAGCTCAATAAAAAAAAAAAATTATTAAAAAAGAAATCAACATAATAAAAAAGAATACATGGTGAAAAACGAAGAAGCATTTTTGATAAAAAAAATTTATCAAGTCATTCAATTTGTTAACTACTTGTGATTACTTATCGTTGTAAATTTTCATGTACAATAGATAATATTGTTTTTCTACTTTTATATTAAATAAGAACACATATTCTACAAATTAAATTGTGTTTGAATGTCTAGATAGCTTTCTACACAGTACAAAAATATTTTTGTATTGTATTTGATGTACTGGTTTAGAATGGAAATATTATTCGGAAAGACAAAAATATACACACGTTATATTTCTACACCACTTTATAGTCAGTTTAACAATGAATTAATAATATCAAAGTATCTTAGATTGCGTTTTGTACAAAGTTTAATTTTTTTCAATTACAAAGACGATCCAATGTCAGCCGTGGGAGAGCGAGAGTCTCAAAAAAGTCCTGTCAAAATCCATAAGAGTGATATACCAGTGAGATTGATAGGTTCTACTTTTGGATCACCTATATATGGCTTGGATGAGTGGTTCTGTGCCTTTTTTGACAAATTTTTTTTGAGATCACAGTATTCAGTTAAGAACTCCTATGAAGTACGTCAGCAACCTCATCAACTTATTGTTCCTCCTGTTGTTTTCTTGGTTTCGTTTGATGTGGTATCACTTTATACCAGCTTGCCTTTTTCACTTTTCAGAGGTACTAGCAGCAAGTTAGGCTCTCTTGTGAATCTTTTGGCTAGAGACAAAAAAGAGTTTTTGGATGGTTTTGATTTTTTAATTAATTCAAACTATTTTACGTTTAATCAAAGAATATATTGTCAGCTTTGTGGCACATTGCTGGAAGGTTGTTTCCCACCGCGGATTGCTGAAATAGTACTCGAGTCACTTGAGACTTCCATTGTTCCAACATATGGGTAGTCTATTCTCACTTATATTTAGATATATAGATAACTGTTTTTCAATTATTAATAATGATATTCAATAAGTGTTGGAACTCTTCAATAACTACAATCCGTTTATCCAGTTGACACTTGAACAAGAAAACAACAAATCGAATTCCTTTTTGGATACTTTGATTACCCGAGTTCCTAAGGCTGAATGTATGGTTGACTTACATTGCAAACCATCTGCCTCATGCAGATGTTTAAATTTTTTCTCATATAATCCGGTGGCACAAAAGACAACTATGATTTTTCCATGATTGATAAAGTGCTTAAACTTATTGACCCTAGTTTTAAAACAAAAAATATTTCAGATGTTAGGAGAATCTCAGCTTTGTATGCATATCCTCCCTTTTCCGTATGAAAGTATATTAGAGCTAGGGTTAGTATGCTCCATAGAATGGCCAAACGTTCCAAAATTATGAACCACAAGGTAGATTCTTATACTTTAATCATAGAAAACTCTTCTACTAAACTTCCCTTCTTAATACTTCCATATTTTCAACCATTATCTTGGATCGAGAAAAGAATGAACTCAGAAGGGAATTCTCTGAAATAACTTATATTACAGATTATCATAGTAAAGTTAATCGACAGCTTGAAACTAAAAAATCAAGTCCTGTACATAAAAAGTTCTTGCTTGACGTAAAATACAAATTTCTGTGAGCGCATTTATTTTTAGTTTTTTTCAACTGCATAATTTTATTTTTCGTATATTCTACGTATATGACATCCTATACCAATATTTTTAATATCCTCTGTTTTTGTCCCTTACTTAGTATTAAACCGCTAGAGTTTTTTATTCTATGTTTCTACCTTTACCTTACCTAAGAAGATTTTATTTATGTACGCACATAGTTTGCAGATTTGTTGTTTAGCGTTGTTTTATTATCCACGAGCCATGTTATACTAATTTTTCTTTGCACACTACATGCTATGTAATTGTAAGTTATCCTTCCGCCTGTATTGGTATTGTACATTTTTAATTTAATGTTACATTTGTTTTTATTTAGATTAACCTCAAACATTTGTTTATTTTTATACCATATTGCCCTCAAGAGGACATCTAAAGGATGTTGAAGTATCAAAATTTGAAGCAGTATACTATACATACCAAAATTCGATGACTATAGTGGCAACATCAAGAATCTCGCAGTTTAGTATTCACTGCATGATCATCAAGACATCGATAGTATTGATGTAGCACCGCTGTAAATCTTGATTCTAGACGTAAGAAAAATTTAAATTCCAAATCCTGAAGTAAATATTTTAGATATGCTCTTTTCGGGTGCGCAGTGACTTATATTAACCGGACGCACATACCAATACGGTCAATTAGGACTATCGATGTATGCAGTGTATACTTCGAGATTCTTGTTGTCACCACTATTAACATCGGATTTTAGTATGTACAATATCTTGCGTGCATAACTTACATTTTTTTTATTTTTCAAACAATTATTCTAATAAAAATATTTTTGACAATGTTATTAGTTTTATTTTACAGTTGACTATTTATGTCAATTTTTCGTCAATAAATGGTGCATTTAGAGTCAATCGTACAGGCTACGCTGTACTTTAGTAGGACAACTTAAAGTGATGGTAGTATTGCACTGCATATTTCAGTCCTCATACATACTTGTTAGGTTGTGGTTTTAAGCGCAACTACACACTAGGGACAGAGGCTATATGATGGGTACCTTACATATGTGTATTATGTCACTGTTTTTTTATAGAGTAGAAAGGACACCAGTTTTTTTGATAGACGGAAGACACTTCTTTTCTTTTGACTCAACTTCTCTCAAAATTGTTTGGTTGCACCCCTGAACTTTCTGGTTGGAAGTGGAATAAAATATAAGATAATCCGTATCAAGATAACTCTGAGATAGACAAGTATTAAACTTTATCTCATTAGTCAGTTTATTTTTTTTGTGCATCAAGCAATAAGGTCCAGTAGTATCCTAAAATACTAGTAAGATTTCAGGATAATGCTTTCCAACGAGCTACTCTTAAGTAGAAGATGGGTATCTCATAATAACGGAGAAAAAGACGGTGGTCGGTAAACAATAGAACAATACAAAGGGATATGATTTCTTACACACATTAAGATTTATTGAAAATATATAGCTCTAGCTATTGTTGTATTACTTGGTTAAAAACAGAGTAACGAAGTACTCCAAGGCATATAATAACTTATTTTATTTTACTCATTTCCTATATAAACGCCCATATCAAGTGTCCATCAGCTAATAACTGTGTAGGTACTTGCAGTACGAGAACTTCAGTTACCTATGTATGATAAACATTTTTTAAATACATTTAACTTAAAATTTTTTTTTCATCTAATCAGAAAAATTAGACAAACTATGCATTAAAAAATAAATACCAAACCGTTTGATAAAAGTCATTGATAATTTTCATGCATGTGTATTTGAAACTAAAATAAAGTGTTAACCAAAATAATAATATTATGGTATATTTATTCTTCCTTAGCTAACTAAGTTATTTTACTTGCCAGTAGTTAGGAAATATTAACAATTATTTTTTACTTTTAGTTGATGATCAATGCTCTTTTAAAATCTGGAAAACACCAGTTAAGTTATTCAATCATCTCTCAACATTTTGGCGATTCTATTATTCCTTACTTAACAGTTAATTCAGAACTAAATCAAAAGTCCAACAAATTGAGGTTTCCCATGATTTACAAAAGTAAAATAAAGTACATAAGACTAAGAAACAACTTTAGTAGCACATTCACTAGAAGTCAGAAAATTTTCTCAGATTTAATTTTGAAAGAGCCAAGACGTGAAATCAAGTCAGTATCGCTTTAACATTAAATTATCATAAATTAAATACGATGATTATTTATATTTTTAATTGGATCAATATTTTACCCCACAGATTTGCTTTTTCTGGTGGACGACTTATATCATCAAATAATCTACGTCGAGATAATTTACGAGCTAATTATCAAATACTAAGGAACGATTGTCCAGCTTCTTATGCTCTTATTGCGTTAAATCGGCTTACTATTCCAAAATTCAAGAGAAAATTTTTTTTTGATTCTTACAATTTATCAAGTATCATATTTTGAAATATTTAATAATCACTAGTATTTCATTATGTACTCTTAGGAATGTTACGAAATCAAATTAAAAAAAATTGTTTTTACGACAAGTACTGTCTTGAAAAAAGTACTGTCTTGCAGAAAATATGTAAAATAAATATATTTTGCCAACCAAATTATTGTTAACAGCTATGTAAAAAATGAGAATTCATGTTTCTATTACAAATATTTTCATATATATTTAAAGTTATCATTCTATCATGTTTCTTAAGCAGTATTGCAGTTACATGAATAAAAGAATTCCAGAAATCATTGTGATAACCATCACATTTTAAAAACATAGGAATTTTTCAACAGCAGTATGTGAACTTTTGTTGTAAGTTACAGTAATTTCTAGAAGTTTGTATAGATTTTACTATATTATTTACTGTAAGGCAACAGTAAAATTTTTTTTTTTAATATTTGGAAGTAAAGGAAGATCAGACGTCTGCTGCAGCTAGATAACTTTGACACCAATGTTGATAGTGTCAAAGATTGTTAACCACTCAAACGAATTATTAGACACATGACTAATGGGTGCATAGTAACAGTTTTTCGGCTGTAACTTTGATATTTGCGAGAATTACAATGAAAGTAAAAGTTGTAGATATGATTTAAATATGACTTCTTGGTATTTAACATTTTTGTCCAGGGTGTACTCCAAACGTTCTGTGAGCCAAAACGTGCTCAAAAATCGCTGAAATATAGCTGTTCCCTATCTCACTTACATGTTTTATATTTTGCATTATAAAATTGAAGTTTAAAAATGTAGATCTCCTTGAAGTACAACGTTTTTGTGTAAAAAATTTTGACCAAGGATGTAACCCATCCGTTCTATGCCCCAAAAAGTGCTCGTATTAAAAAAAAAGTTGTTTGCCTCTTTCCAAATTTTTTGTTAAGTATTTTAAATAAAAAATTCAACTTGAGAGTTACAAGTCTTATTGAAATATAAGTTTTTCGTATTCAACACACTCAGTTATCATATCGAATTGGGGCTCTAAATCGCAAAAAATGCCGGAAAAATGCAAAACTGTCGTTTTCCCCTATCTAATTAGCTCATTTTACATTTTAGATAATAATGTTAAAGTAAAAATCATAGACCTTTAAAAAGTATAACTGTTTCTTGTCTAACATAAAATTATAGCTAGCTCAGAATACGTCGAGTGATGCTCGAGGCAAAGCCAAGGGCGGTAATCATTATGTTCTGAGGCTTTTTTTTCTTCGTCTCGTGGTATGTATAAATTTTGTTACCAACCAAGTTTTTTTCAGACTTTATTTTTTTTACAAACAACGTAAAAAGTTTCTAAAAATAAATTCTTAAAAAACAACTCTTTTTTCAAATAATATAGTAAGAATCCAGAAAGATTTTTTTTGTTAAAGATAGTATGTTATTAACCATGCCTGAGCAGAAATACATAGAAATACCTGACTAAAAAGTTTATTGATAAAAAATTTATTAACTGCAAGGTAAACAATCTTGAGCTACATTTAACCAAGTATAAAAATTTCGGGCATGTATGTATCGAGTAATGCGAGTAGTCAAAGAGGAAAGAAATTGAATTTATACTTGCTATCTCATTACCAAAAGCGTATCGCGTATCATTTTCAACTAACAAATACAAAGTATAATTCTTCGATTATTTCACAAAACCTGCGATAATATCACGCCCAAATTCAGATTCTTCAAATTAAATGTTTAGAATTTTCAAATTATTTTTTCGAAATTATATAATGTCAAAACTAGTTAGAAACTTCTAGCCTATCTCTACGATGATTTATTAAAACCCCATGTTAATTAAGTTGCAATTTTTTAGAAATTTAAAAAGAGCGTTACGGCAATGACCGACTTATCATTACCGTACTTTATCAACGGTATTAAATATAATAACGGTACTTTTTTTGCGATTGTAAAGCTCTAAGGTGAAATTTTTCAACCGAATTTCGTTTTTTGTATCTGTACTCTATATCTCTTCGTACACTGTAGCCATCTAACCGATGATTTCAAATTTCTCGGAGATTAGAGGCATTACGGTAATGACCGCTTATACCAGAAGCCACAAAAAATGAAGTTTATAAATGCTTCATATTACGGTTATGACATTTTGGCCCGTTTTTTAACACGATCTCAAAAATGCATTTAGGGAGAATTGGGTTACACTATTTAAAATAAGTTCCAACTTGAAACTATTCGATCCGTTATTTTTAAGCATAGGCTTCATGGAGTATCGCATTTTTTGTGAAATGACCCATTTATGGATATAAGAAATATAATGATGGTTCGTGCAAAAAAAAAACATTGCTCAGGTTCATCCAAAGAAAATACAGCTCAAGTGTTCAGGAGAGAAAAATACAAATTATTAAACCCGAATAAAATCAAGTACAGCTCACGCGTTCAGTTAAAAACAAACATGGCTTGTCGCCTTCAGGTGAAAAGAATTACAGCTCAAGCAATCAGAAGAAAATAAGCTCGAATCACCAGAGCTGGTTCAAAAGAAGCTCAGCTTGTGTGTTTGGATTAGAAAAGCTTGCTGGCAAACACATCCTCGAAGATAACTCCCGACACCTCCAATTTGCCCTCACTGTTCTAACCCGCCCACCCAGACAGGCAGGTTTTCATAATTCGGCGCTTAACGTGGGGCCTTCTCCAAAAAACTCGCTGCTGCTGCAGATATCCATAAGTCCCAGAGTCTACCAGCACCACCGACTGACAGATGCCTAACCCAAAATCAATGAAAACTCCTAGATAGGGAGAGAGGGAGCGCCACAAGACACCTTGTGGCGCTCGACACAAAGAAGACTAAAAAAAAAAAATAGAGAAAAATGTATGACACCAGGAGCCTTCTGCGAGCCTGCTTTGGCAGTCCGGCTATACATGGAAGGTTGCATTCGAAACTTAATTCCAATCGTTAAACCGAGACGAAACCTGTTGGTGCATTACTACAAGAGAATATCTTCTATTCCAAAGAATCAGTGCCACTACCACGGAGAAATTAATAATAACCATCATCCTTGAGCTCATCTGTCCGCCTCTACAGAGCCATACGTTCAAAATGTACGCAAAGCTCACCATGGCTGACTAACTAGATAAAGGCGAAGAAGATCTTTCAAAGGCCAGTGTTTTAATGCCAGCTACTATCTTATCGAAATAAGTGAAAGAAAATGAAGTTTATTTTGAATTTGAAGAAAAACTTTTATTCGTTCTTACCTGCAATTTATCGCCAATTTACTGAAGATTAAGGTACAATTTGGCACGCAAATAGATGCAATTTAAATACGAACCTAATATCTACCATGATAGTGTGATCGAATCAGCTGAAATATCGGTAATTTTTCATGAAATTCAGACTAGCGCGAAAATGATATGTTGTAAAGAATCTCCAAAAAAATCAATAAATGAAATAAATAAAAATTTCGAGAGAATCAAAGGATGCCAATCAATTGTAAAAAAATCGAACAAGGCTTCCACTTAGGCTTTGAAAAAAATGGCAAAAATGGTAAAACACGGTGATAGAAACGGACAAGAAGCCTTAAATATATATTAGTGGGCTCTGCCTCATGCGCGCTGATTTCCCAAGTATTATATTAAATTAATCTCCAAAATGATGGACTTGTTAAATAATCGAGTACAACTAACAAGTTAACTTTTTATCTCTGTAAAGTTCTTTTACTTAGTTTGTTCTACTTTTCTTGATGATGTTGTCAATCTTTTAATTAACTTAAAATATACACACAACGTAATATATAGTTTCGTATGACTATATTTTATTATATGGTCAATACAACATGAACTTAGAGTTAGAGTATTCGGAGATGAAAATGGTATTATAAAGACTTTTTTGTGATAGCAGAATATACATCTGTGTATGAGAATATAAATTAAAATATTCCTTAACTGATATAAAAAATTATAATTACAATATTCTTTTTGTAAATAAGATTACAAAAATTAATTCAAAATAAGATTCATAATATTCATACATTTAAAATCACATAATCTACACAATTGACTAAGTCTTACGTTATTTATAGAATGATTTTTATAAAACAAATGCTTCGTAAACCTCATAATACAAATACTTCTGGCTACGATTTCAACAAAAAAATTGGTAAACAAAAAATTCCAAAACAACTTTGTTCCAAAACGTCCTTTAAAAAAGATGGTTATCCCGAATATAAAAGAAAAGATAATACAAGTGAAAATCATAATTATGAAATTAAGAGCAGTAACATGAAAATTTCTGTCAATAATTTAATGGTTGTTTCTTATAATAAATACTTTTTAAATAAATATAATTGTCACATGAATGTAGAATGTTGTGCCTCTATGCAAAGTATTAAATACATTCTTGATTACATTTATGAAGGTAGTGATGAAGCTTTTTATTAATGAGAAAAAGAAAATAAAACTGAGATCCCTGAAATAAAAGATAATATAAGTTAATACGTTAATGGACGTTACTTAAATACCATGAAAGCATCACGGAGACTTCCAGAATTTCCTTTTATGGGTAGAAGTCATTTAGTATTCTATTTTTCAGTTCATTTAGAAAAAAAACCAAAAAAATTTTTGATAAAAATATGGTAGAAAAATCTATTTATAATGAGAAAACTTTTTTGACAGCATGGTTCAATTTAAACAAAATAGATGATTTTGCAAAGTCTATAAAGTACGTTAATGTTCAAGAATATCGCATATTTGACAATAAAATAATAAAATGAAAAAGACGAAAAAATTTACAAAAAAATATCACCAAAGATAGAAAAAATGTTGTTTCTCTAAAAT